TGCCCTGCCCCTGTCAGGAATGTTTTGAGCAAAAACTCTTCTGCCTTCCCACTGCTCAGAGAGCCTGCAATAACATTTTTTACTTTAAGGCATTTTATATTTAAGCATGTTTCCAGAATTACTTTTTTGGCCTAGATATTGAAATGGATACTTCTGAAGGAAATGTGAATTTATCCAGGATGCCTTTAGATAAATACATACTGAGACCAGCACCTTTTTTTTTTTTTTTTTTTTTTTTTTTTTTTTTTTGCTGAGGCACCAAGCAGCTGACATGAGAACTGTCGTGTACAAAACAGAACCATTCACTGGGAAAGATCAGGTTGTTGTCCCGTTATAACCACAAGTCAGGTGGTTAAGGAATGGTTTATAGAGGTCAGCGCTTCAGTCCCTCAGGGTTATTATGATTCCCCCAACTATTGGGTAAGACCTATGCGATTAAATTCAGAGGAGACTCTGTGATTAAAAAGGATCGCTCCACAGCCCTGTATAAATTGCCTAAAATTTCACAGATGTGTATTTATGAGTTGGATCCTCTTGGATAGATTGCAGAGAGGTGGATGTTGAGTCATATATAGAAACAAATCCATTTTAAAGGGAACCACCACTCCAAATCTATCCAAAAGAGAATCCAAAAAGAGAAGAGATACTTCATATTTTGGATGCTTGAATCTGTCTCTACATTCACAGGGGGCTGATGTCTGGAATTGATAGTGATGGCTTCCATCCTCCAAACTGCATTCTGAATCTCTCTCTTTGTATCAAACGAAAAGGACAACAAAATATTGTTAAACAGTAAAATAAGAACAGTCCAGAACTGATACAAAAAAAAAATCACATCATGGCTTACATTTTTTAGTTTATCCATATATTTTTAATTTTGCCTTTTACTTGTTTTTAATCTATTGACACTCCCTGCCCCAGGAGTTGCATAGGCCTTTCTGTCAAGTAAGCTCAGGGTTTGAAATCCTCATAGTGTTAGTAATGCATGCTTAATAATACAGTCATGTGTTACCAATAATACAGTACATATTAATAATGATAACAATCCTAATGATTTTAATCCAGGCAATATTGCCTACCTTCCTTTTTCCATCTCTGAAAAAGATAATTGTAATAGAAAGTCAATATGCAGTAATTCAACTATTTCTACATCTACGTGTGTATGTGTGTGTGTGTGTGTATATATATATATATATATATATATATATACACATACATACACAAAGACGTATAAAAATTATGACAACCTGGACAGGTAATTAAAAATGAAGGTAAGAGAAAAGCTGCTGCAGGAGGCTGAGTAATTTTTATTATTATCAACCCCCTCCCCCCCCCCCCCCAGCTGAATTTTCCCTATTCAGTTTTCAGCAGAGCTTTGATATTAAGTCAAACACCAAGAGTCTGGGGATGAATTGCTTTCCTGGCATTCTTAATAATTTCCTACGCTTTGTGAGAAAGGAGATTTTTTTATTTTTTTTCTTCTCAGTTGTAATTAGATTGCTTTTCTGTAAAGTTCAGTAGACTTCTGATGCCCAAAATAACCTTTGTTAAAATAGCATAAGTTAAAGTGGGGGGAGAAATACTTACATTCCAAAGTATTTGAATTCACACACAGTGGAAATCCACACAGTAGTGGAAAACTGGTAATGATTTGAATTCTTCATGGAGCTAATGCCAAGAACACTATTATATAAATAAATCTGCATGTACTACATGAAGTATTGCATGTACAGCCAGCATCTTTTTTTTAATTAAAAGAGGTTTTTGTTGGAGGATGGAAAAAATTGAGAGTTACACGTATTCATTGAGCAAGTCTTCCTTATTTTTTTTAGTAAAACAAATAAAAATTCTGTACTAAAAATGCTTTTGAAAAAGAGGAGTGCTGGAATGTTTTGCATATTTAACCAAAGGTTATATTAAAGTCTTTTACATAGATCCACCAGTAAATATGGAGAAGGTTACTTATTTATACCTAGCTGCTGGTTTTTGAACTATGAGAAACAATTCAATACAAACTATACTTACTGACAGCTGAATCTCAGAAGTCTGTTAACACATAAGGATATAACTGTTGGGTTGGTGTTTTTTCTTGTTTGTTTTGTCTGTGCTAATGTCGGTTTCCATATTAGACTCAGAAATCATGTCAAGTATTAGATTAATCTTGTTATTCTGGCTTTTGAGAGAGCTATATATGTTGAGAATGATTCTTAAACTAAATCTTGAAGTATTATATGAAAGCTTTGAAGCTATAAAGAAATATTTACTGCTACAAACAACTTTAGGTAAGAAAAATTGAAAATAGGGGGCACTGAATTTAGTGCAATCACTCCTTTCTTTATAAATACATACTCTTAATCAAGGAGACGTTTTACATCACAGACTGTTTTTGAAATCATGCTTATTTTGCAGTGCATAAATCTGAAAATGTCTGAGAACAGCAGTGGTCCGACAGTCTAGTTGCAGAATTAACAGCCTCAGATTGTGGCTAGCTAGAGAACCTTTTTCTGTAACACAAGTTTATTTTTTACCTGAGAGAATGTGTTGGTTTTCCCATAGAGCCACTTATTAGAATTAGTTTAAGCATGTGAAGGTCTGACACTGAAGTTATTTTGGTAAAGATATCAGTCTTTATCTCAGCCAGAAGGAGCTCTTTGTGATTAAAATCATAGTTATTAACAGTGACCTTGAATTTTAAATAAATAAATAAAATAGTCCTAACATGCCAACAACTCACATGCTGGTATATACTGCAGTTATTTCCATAATACAGAACAGGGGAAAATTCTGGTACGATGACCACAAATGTGAAAACAGCCTTTTCTAAATAACTTACAGGTTACTTACAAAAGAATCTTTTTGATTCTTTTTTCCATGTTGATATTTGTTGTTAAAGGATAGGTAACTTTCATGGTAGCAGTTAAAAAATCACATCTTTTTGGAAAGCTGAACATTCTTTCTTGCAAAAAAAACTTTTTCTCAAATTGGTCTAGATTTATCTTTTACAGGGGCCACTTTTAAATGAAATCGATTTATTATTTTTTTTGGTAGGAATGTATGTAAAATGACTTCATGCTATGACTTATCAGAATTTGCACAGCTCTAATGTTGGTTAACTGTTCTGAAACTGGAGAGTGCTATTGCAGTTGTGTGGTTTTTGTTTGTTTGTTTGTTTATTTTTTGTTTTGGCAAAGGATTCTATTTGCACCCCAAAATAAATAGCTTGTTAACTTGATTTGGACCAAATTGTGTTCTCTCACCTCCATGAACACAGGTATTGAAAACAAAACCATAACAGTATCATAAATAGGTACCAACAAAATGCTGAAACTGAAAATGCTAAGACAATTCATTTGCTGATTCTGCGTAAACTAATATGATGGTTCCATGACTCTCTTGGATTTATTATCTAATCTGACCAGAATTTGTGTTTCTCTTGTGATTAAATTGTGGCAAATATCATCTGCCAATATCATCCCACAGGTAGAATTCATGGCTTCATTAGTTGAGACCTGAATGACCATCTTTAACTTTCCTCTAGAAAGCCTGAAAAGCATGCATCTGTTACTTGTGTAATAAAAAAATGAAAATGTATCAGGAGACCTCTCATTAATTTGTGATGCAGATTTAGAGGTTCTATGAGTTTTTCTAATTATTATTATTTTATTTTAAATTCTGTATTACATAGTGTCTGAAAAAGATATACTGGAGATATTTTGTGCTCTGTTTATATAAATGAACTTCGAGTCGGAAACAAAAGATCAAGTAAGGAGAAAGCTGAAGGTAGCAGTGTCAGCATGGGACTGGTGGTTCTTGGAGATAAGGAATGTTCCTGTTAGGACAGGCATTGAGCAAATAGAAAATGGTCAGAGTGAAAAATAAGTTAGGCTTGAGACATCAAAACGAACCTTGTTCATTTTAAACTTCCCTGAATAAATAATTATAGGGCAAGTGATTTAAAAAGTATATGAGGATCAAAAAAGAGGATTGCTTCTGGCTATGAAGTTTCTTTAGATTTAGCAGTCTGTTAGTGGGACCTACATACTTATTAACAGATTTCACTGGAGAGTTATTTTGAGTTATAAACTCTGTCATCATAAAATCAGAGTTATATCAGCTCTGTGACTGAGTTCTCTATTCTTTTGTTAGGTTCCTCTGTAAGTTGTGTTCAGATGCACATTTCTTTTGCTGGACACGCCTGAATAAGCAGCTTTCCTCCTGCTCCTTCCCTGTTATGTTTTTTTTTTTCTCTCCAAATGTCTCTCCTAAATTGATTGTGCTATTACGTGATGAAACAAATTGAGGAACTGACCTGGGTTAAAATTACTTGGCAAAAATGAAGAGGTGTGGTTTTGTCTAAGCTGATTTTTCTGATGCTGTTTTCCTGTGCAGTTGCCCAATCGGCAATTACAGAGGAGTTGAGGGGATAAGTTATTAAAGCTGCAAGAATTGCAGGAGCTGCTTAAGGAGAAGCCCTGTGACTGAAAGCAATGGTCCTGAAAGAATAGTCTTACAGAGATTTTAGGCTTCATGTACTTTCTGTGAATGCTGCTACTTATGCTGCATACTGGCAGTATAACTGCCAGTATGACCTAGCTCAGAGTGGAAGCTGATGAATTTGACCACAGGCTCAGTTCAGTCCTTGTGTACATGGGACAGATGAATTTTCCACCAGTTACCAGAGAAAGAATTAATGAAGCTTTTATGCAGAATGAATTTAGTTACAAAATCTTCTCAGTGAAGAATTTGGATCACACTGAAGTGCTAGTATGGACTGCTCATGCCCAAAATAGGCTAGTTTGAGAGTTTGTGTGGATAACAGCAAATAACTTCATGGATGACTACTTTGAAAATTCTGCCTCACAGTATATGAAATTCTCTTGTAAATTCTTTAAATCACTAAAGACTTTATTTGAAGTTCAGAGGTTCTAATGTAAGTCAGCTGGATTTCCATGTAGCTTTGGAGTAGTTCCTAATACTTTTACTTATGATTTTATTTTTAGAGAGTGTGAGTCTGCTATATCTGATCTACAATGAATGCCAAATCTGCAATCAACAAAGAAATATTTGCCCCACATGATGAAAGGATGCTGGGAGCTGTCCAAGTAAAAAGAAGAACAAAAAAAAAGATTCCTTTTCTAGCTACTGGGGGTCAGGGTGAATATTTAACGTACATCTGCCTGTCAGGTAAGATTAAAGATTTGGACATCCATTTGTCTGTTTTGGTATTTTTGATTAACTGATTAGATGTTATCCCATAGCTGCAAGGTGCTAGGTGACTTGAATCTTAATAATGGAAGCAGAGAATAATGGCACTTGAAATACAGGCTATTAATATTTATACCATATAATAAATTGAACAGGTGGTTTCATTGTTCAAAAAATGAAGTGTTCTCACAGCATAGCTGCAGAATATGAACAAATAGAGTAATTGGAAACAGTCCTTGCTTATTGATGTTAAGATCTTTCTTGGAGGGCTGAACTTCATATTGTTTGTTTCTGCTTTTTATGCCCTGAAATTTCTAGTTTGAAGCAAATGTTCTTTTCATATTTGCCCCTGTGTTACAAACTTTTTGGGTCTTTTAAATATGCAACTTTCAGTTAAAATATTTTCTGTTCAATGATACACAGCACCACTGTTGTGTTTGATCTCCTGACTTTAAAAGGGGTGAAGAAGGATATAGTTTGTTTGAGGAAGAAAATGATGTATAGTTATCAGTTTTGAGGTCTCACAGGGAACAGGGAAATGATCTATTGCTGCTAATGTGCTCAGGTGAAATTCATTTGAGCTTCTCCAAAGTCAGACCAGTACCAATGAAAGTCTGAGTTTTGTGGAACAGACTATGTAGTAGTAGTTGTCTGTTTAGCATCTGTTGTGCTTGGTATATATTTATCCTTTCTAATAAAGGTAAAGGTACATTTATTTATTTTAGTGAAAATAAATGAATGAATTTCATATTTAAATGAAATTCATTGATTGGGTAACCTGTGGTTAACTATGGTCACAGATTTTTGGCTGTATTTTTTCTTTTAAGAATGTAATTTGGCTTATGCTTTGAATACTTTCTGGTTATTATAATTGAAAGTAAGATAAATTTTACCAGGATTATGTCTTGAAGCAGTTGGACAGTTGTTTGTGATACTTGTTTGTCTGTAGATTACACCTGTTTTCAAACTTAGCATGGAATTCAGTTGCTTGTTAGGCATTCAGTGCAGTTCTAGATTTCTAGAAATACCCAGCCCTTCCTCCAGGTACCTCTCTCTCAGGAATGCAGAAATCCCCCTGTATTTTCTGTGTCTGCCAAGTGAGTGTGTGTGATTATCTTTGATATCCTAAGGTGCTTTAGGCATATTTTTGAGTATCAGTTGCCTCCTTAGAGGGTGTGTATCTCACTGCAAGTAAAACTAGCAGTCACAGGAAGTGCTCTTGTGAAGTTCAGAATACTGATACTGTTTCTGAAGTAAATGAAAGATTATGTTTCATGGACTTTGTCAAATTTCTTTCCACAGAAAATTATATTAAACCTTTCAAAATGTAGGGTGTAAAACTCAGTGACTCTACAGCTGTTAAGACATCACACACATGCACAGAAAATGTACATTTATTAAATATGTTGCCAAATAACATTTGTATATGTATGTACAAGTACTTATGTTAAATATAAGCTGCAGAGTATCTGTACACACACACTGAGGACAATAAGACAAAACAGATTCAACACTTCTTGCTGAGTATTCTGCTTGCCATTCTTCCCATGTACGGTAGTTTCAAGGAAGAGTTTGATTCACCTCGTCTTTTCCCTGAGGTTGTGGTTTGGATACCCTTTTAAGATGTAAGGATTGCAGGCCTCAATTCCCCCAGGTTGTGAAGGAAGCTGAATCTAGGTCTTCCATCTTTGAAATAAATGTTCAGATCACTAACTTGTTTTGAAGCAAAGGTTCAACTCTTACTCATTTGGCAGTCAATTTTTAAGAGTCTTGAAGATGTTACATGATCTTAGATGCATCTAATGCCATTCTGCAACAGGATAATGCATAATGAGTAGGGAAGAAACAGCAGATGTCCTGATTTCAGCAGAGTTTCTCATTGATGACAAAGAGAAATATTCAGGGTCTAAATAAAACTACTGTATGTTGGTCACTGAAAAGCTGCATAATTGAACTAGGAGAGTTTTGTGTGGCTTGCTGTTAGTGAGGTTCTGCAGGGGAATGAGACTTTGTTATTAAGCTATTTAATAATAATAAAGCGTATGCTATCAAACATAATGTATGATCAGTAATTTCAATTGACTGAAGAGGCTTGGGAGGGGACTGCCTGGCTGTATTCATGTTTGAGGACAGATTCAGAATTCCAGAGTGATCAAAAAGTTGATGTAATGCAATAGGGTCAAGTGCAATTAGTTATTTAGTCAAGAACAATCAATAGCACAAAACTAAAGGGTGAGGAAAAAATGCTTCTGCCACTGAGGTTAAAGGAAATTGTGACAAGGATAAACTGTTTTGCTCTTCCCAATGGCTATGAAGTGATAATGGTTTTAGCTGCAATGAGTAGTTCTGTTATATTTTTAAAAAGTAAATAAAAGTAAAATATAATTTAGTAAGGATATATGGGAATGGCAGTTGTGCTGTGTCCCCAGATGGTCTAAGATGAACTATATATGGGGGTTAAAGAATGTACTTGGTGACTTTCCATTTTTTCTGTGATTCAGTGCAAATTATTAGAAGCACTGACGGCTAGCTCTAGATACTAGTTTCCACTTCAAATGATGTATGCTTTAATGCTGTGTTGCAACACCTATCTTAGAAACAACTTTATAAGCCCTTTACTCTTGTCCCACTTTTTCCCCAGGTTTTGCGACATATTAGATAAATGTAGTGAGTAGAATATATATGTTCTTAGTTTTCTTAGACTGATTTGTGTGGCCTTTACTAGAAGGAATATGATAATTTACAGGCTAGAGCTTAATATGTCAGTTGAAAGAATCCCCTTAGAAACCAATTTGTTATGAGGATTATAAATGTTTGGGGATATAAAATGTCCTGCCTACTTATAATTTCATTCAAGATGGGGCACAGAAATCCAGACGTCAACCATTGTAAAAGCTATTTCTACATTCTACTGTTTGTAGCTGAAAAAATTACACTGTTAACAGTTGTTTTCCTTTTCTCTTTTGAATTTAAAATACATTATATCACAATTGTTGTCTACCCACATTTTTGTAAATGAGGATAGAGATTGATTCAAAGATCGAAGCCGAAATTCCTTTAAGTGGTATATTCTTTATTGCAGCGCTGGATGCACGGGGGATCTCTCCACCTATCGTGCATACCCAAAGCGGAAAGCAGTCTTGAATTTATACAATCAATCTATCAATATTCTACAAGCGCCTATACATATGCATTACCTATCCCCGCCTTCCCTCGCTTCTCATGCTAATTAGCCTTTTGGCACCTTGCGCCTGCGTAGAGCCTCCCAAGAATTGTGGGCAGGGGTCTTTGGGACGTGGGCAGGGGTCTTTGGGAGGAAGACCCCGAGTCTTCCTCACAGTGTACTTTTCACCTTTGGTCAGGAATCTGCTGAATTGGCACGTTTCTTAATTGCGAGAGCTGGTTGTTGCCAATTCTTCCGTTTGTTGTATCTTTATAATGAATTCCAATGTCCAATTTTGAGATTTATAGTCCTTACATTTGTTTCTCTGTCCGTCTGCCGCTTCCTTATCATGAGTTCCAGTGTCTTGTTTCGAGATATACAGTCCATGTCTGGGGATTGTCCTTGCCTCCCCAATGCCTCCCCAATACCTCCTTAATCAAGATCCTGAGCAGGGGGACTGTATCACTGCCACCTGTAGGACTCAAATAGCTGGGATAGTAAAGCATTAGAACAGTCAAATGATGAAAACAGTGAGATGGGAGAGTAAGAATGATTATTTCAATTTTTTATTTGAAGTATGTACTGGGCTTCATATTTGACAATACTAAATATTGGTTAGAAGGAAATACCTATTGATGCTCCAAAAATGTGTACATAATGCTGTCAGCTGCAACTGAAGGTGGATTAACGTAAGGATGCTGTAGGACTGTTTACTGCAACTGTGGGGACATGCAACCTGGAGCTCATTGTAGTGGCAGGGCTGACAAAGTTAGACTGGGAAGCATAGCCAAGAGAAATCTTCTCAGAGATATTTAGTTGAAGAACAGCAAGCAAGGAGTAGACAGATGGGAAACACAGAGGCTGTAGGCAGAACAGAGAAGACGAAAACTGGGATTTTTTTTTTATGTAGGAAAGAATTTGACACAGCGAAAAAGCAAGAAATTCAGAGCTGAAAGTGGATATTTATCACCTCCTCCACACTAGCAGACCTAGTGACAGTTATTGGATCAGATCTAAGCTTTAAATTTGTCACCATTGTCTTATGTAATTGAAACATAAATGTTTAAAATAGTTTTTAGCCTTATTTAGAATGCTGAATTAAATATGAAATACTTAAAGGTCACTTCAGAGATACAGGATGCTGGCCATCTCTCCTACCTGCTTGTGTGCAGTTCTGTGTGTTATTTCCTTTGACATGATATCATTATAGCTTCTAAGTAACTTTTAATATTAAAACGGTTTTTAATTTCGTCTAGTGCATTGGAAGTGTTCCAGTTTATACGTATGGATGTGACATTGACCTTTTCAGGACTAAAACTGTATTGCTGTTGCAATAAGCTGAATGAACCAGATTGTTCCTTTTGAACCTGAATTCCTGTGTGTTAACACTTAGCTGTTCCACTTTTTCTAGTCCTAGTTAAAAGCTTGGAATTTGAGTGTAAGTTTTAAAAGCTAATACTGTTTAAAACTGGGAGTGGAATCCTTTTTTTCTTTGCTGTCTCCAAATGAAATTAACATATTAACATTGGATGGCTTTCATGTGAAAGTACAATCTATTGAGAGTGATGGGAAAAAAAAAAAAGCCCCAAAAGTGCACAGAAATTGTTAAGAAACAACATACAGATATAACATATATTCATTTTTTTCTTTCTTCATTAAAATTTAACCTCATTGACCATGTCACAGTTATTTTCAAACAACAGGCAGCAAATAGCTTAAAAAGCTATTTGCAGTTACCACAGTATGCGGAGGTGTTGTTTGTTTTTTTTTTTTTTTCCTGTTTCTAAGTATACAGAGAGACAGGTCTACCTTATTA